CTCATGGGCGACTTCCTCAACGTCTTCGAAGCCGAAGCCCTAACCGGCGACAACGTCTTCTCCATATCCGCCGCGGTAGCAGGAATCCTCGCCGCCGCCTTCCAAGGCAGCACCGACTTCCTGGTCCCCAAATACCCCGTCGCCAACCCCGCCGTGAAAGCCGTCAGCTACGCAACGCTGACCAGCACCATCGCAGCGAAGCTCATCTTCTCGGGCCCAGGCCAGAAGCTCTTCGCGGCCAACTGCAAGTGGTTCGCGGTCGCCGACGGGCGCGCGACGGGCGCCATCGTGAACAGCATCCTCGTCATCCCCGCGCTGTGTGTGTCGGGCTGGCACTTCCACGAGCTGAGCCAGATGCCCGAGTCGGATCTGCGCTCCGCGGCTATCGTGGGCGAGGTGTCGAATATGACGTCGTATGTTTCGCGCATTGCGTATGCGACTGCTGTTAATGACTATGAGGAGACGACGAGGCAGGTCGCTATTGGGGTTATGGCTGTTAGCAATGTTGCGACGGCGGGGTTGCAGACTGCGGAGGCTTTTCTTTCGGGATAGTGAGGATGTTGCCTATGGCTTTGTTCTCGTACCCTGGGCCTTGTTTGTTGGTCGGTGAGCTAGAGGTATTGTCGTGAATGGGGGTGATCACGCCTGGTTTAGCCTCCTGTCATTCCTTGGGACTATGTTATCGTTTGTTTGTTTGTTTGTTTGATATTTGACTGGAATAGTTACTTGAAGTGAACTCTTTACTGCCGTGCTGTATTAGACATTCTTTAGTAGAAAGATTACCTCAAGACAAGTACGAAGTCCTTCGTTGAGCTACTTGTATTCTGACCCCGAATTCCGCTGCTCTTGATTACTTGGCCGTCGGCATTGGTGGGGGGTTTTAGATTGTATGTATGGGTCACCGAAAGGCTTCAAAAGAAAAGGAAACAGAGATGCAAACACAAAACGTAATCATTCATGTACTCGATCTAACAAACACTCATCTAGTCATCAGAGCTCAAAAGACAATATGCAGTCAAGTCATACAACATCACTATACACTGAATAAAACCGTCCGTACTCTACTCTGCACCTCATGCTTCACACCCCCATTAAACTAATAGCGGTATCCGCTTTGGCCGTAGCCTTGGTTGCTGTCGTAGCCGTGGCTTTGGCTTCCTCCGTAGCTCTGGCCCTGGTTTCCATAGCCCTGGTTTCCTCCGTAGCTCTGGCCCTGACTTCCGTAGCTCTGGCCCTGACTTCCGTAGCTCTGGCCCTGGTTTCCATAACCCTGGTTGCTGCTATATCCATGACTGCCACCATGACTGCTACCATGGCCCTGAGAATGGCCGCCATACGACGAATCCTGGTACCCCTGGCTCTGGTGCTGGCTCTGGTGCTGGCTCTGGTGCTGGCTGCCGTACCCGTGGCTCGACTGGTGGCCGTATCCGGAGGTGGAAGAAGACTGGCCGTATCCAGGGGTAGAGGAAGACTGGCTGTATCCAGGGGTAGAGGAAGACTGGCCGTATCCGGGGGTGGACGAAGACTGGCCGTATCCCTGGCTTGAGGACTGGCCGTAGTAGTCTGCACCGTGTCCGCCGCCGCCGTGTCCGCCACTGGAGTGGTGGGAGGGCTGCGAGTACTGGTGCGAGGACTCGTGGTGCTGGCTGTGGTGCGGTCGGGTGTTTTCATGGTGGCTCTGATGGGATTGGTGTTGAGGCTGGCTGTGGTGCTGAGGAGGGCTATGGTGCTTAGGCGGCTTGCTATGGTGCTCCTCAGGCTTGTCCTCCTTCTTCGAACCTCCTAGGGACAGACCGGAAAAGACACCATCCAGCTTCTTCAGCCCCGAGAGACCCGGGATGCTAGAGAGCTGCTCGAGCGGGTTGGAGCTATGCGAGGAGGACGGGCGCTGCTGCTGTTGCTGCTGCTGCTGCTGGTGCTGAGGGGGACGGGATTGACCGCCGTGGCCGTGTCCTCCCGCGCCAGCCGCTCCGTGACTGTGGGCGCCGTGAGAGTGACCGACCTCGCCGCCGTTGTTTTTGCCGGCCTTGACGCCCTCGGCGCTGAGGATGTCGTTGAGGCTGCGGCCGCGGTCGGGACGGGAGTGGGCCCAGGATTCGACGGCCTCGAACATGGTGCGATGGGCTTCGTTGCGCATGTCCCGGGTGGCCGGGTGGTGGAACACCTTCAGGCAGTCTTCGAGCACCTCCTTCTCCGGCACATCGGGGTGCTGCCAGGCGTACAGCACGCGGGGGGCCACGTACTTGAGGATAGCGGAGGCGACGTTTCCGGCCGGGTCGTTGAGGATGTTGGAGAAGTGGTCCTTAGACAGGAGCGAGTGGGTGGGGTCGGTGCAGTGCGGGTCGGTCCAGGGCTCGAACTGGTGTTTTCCTGAGGCGTCGATCACGCCGGCCGAGCCCGTCTGCAGACTCTTGGACGCGGCGTTGATGATGGGACGGATGAACGGGGCCAGCAGGGACATGACGAAGACGGTCACCGTCTCGGAGATCTTTTCTACCAGCGACTCGAGGCCGGGGATCTTCTCGATGACCGAGTTCAGCTTCCGGACGACGTTGTCTCTGAATTGCAGGATCGGGTAGATCTGCTCGATGGTCTTGGCCGGATCGAGGTCCGCCATCGGACTCGGTTTGTCGGAGGAAGCCTGGGGACGGTCGGACGCCCTGGAGCTCTTGTCCTGATCACCCGCAAAGTTCTTGGCCAGTCCGCGAGCGGCGCTGTAACCCGCGTTAGGCTTGCCGCGCTTGTTCGAAGACTCCTGTTCCTCCGAGCGACGCTTGAGGTTCTCCGCCTCGGTGACCAGGTCCTTGGTCCCCGGGATCTTGCCCAGGAGGCCGGTCAGCGAATCGAGTGACGAGCCGGACGAGTTCGACTGAGCGTCTCCGAGGGCGATGTCCATCTCGTTGACCTCGGACTGCGTGAAGTGGTCGGTGGCCTCTCCCAGCACGGAGTGGAAGAAGTCCACCATGCCGAAGGTGCCCGTCACGAGGGGGAAGACCTGGTGGCCGTGGAGGTTGATCTGGGTGCGCGCACCGGTGTGGGCGAAGACATTGTGGAAGCCCATCTCGCGGAGGGCGAGCTCGCAGTAGTTGGTGTGGGCGGCGAAATCCTCGAGGGTATGGAGACCCTGGCCGAGGCATCGCAAGGCCTCACAGAGGTCCTCCTCGTTTCCTTTGCCTCCGGAGCCGTGGGTGTAGGTCCTGCCGTAGTGGATACTGCGCGCCAGACTGTACTTGATGTACGCCGTACTGGTGGCCCAGTCGCCGCGTTCGTTGGCGATATAGTTCTTCATGCCGGTGTGGGGGTCGATATCCAGTTCCGCCTGACGGATGGGACCGCGCAGTCTTTTGTCAAATACGCGAGCGTCCTGGTTATCGGCGTAGTCCTTGGGGTTGCTAAAAGAGCATTATCAGTCAGAGGGGAGACATCGTAGGCAGATTGTAGGAAGACCAACTCAATATGTTCCTCAGGCCGATAAACCCCCAGTCTCTCCCCAGTAACCTCAAACTCAGCAGTCGCCAAGCCGAACGTCATAAACGAGAGAATCCAGACCAGAACGCGGATGGTATCAGCGGGAAGACTCTTAAGGGTGCCGACATCCATAGCCTGGGAACTGAACCGAGCCAAAGTCAGCATCCCACACCACACTCATACAAAAAATGATATATACGATCAAACATACTAATCCCGCAACCAGTTTCCAAAATAAACACGCTTGATCATGGTCGAAGTCCACTTGTGGCCCGTGATGAAAGCGACAGTCTTGAGCATATCTTCGATATCGCCATGGCGCCAGTTCTTGCCTTCGACGGCGGAGATGGAGGCGATGTCTGTGGACTTGTTAGGGGTGGGAGAGCATGAGGGTGGGTACATATGAGGGAGGAGAACGTACTTCCAGCGCCGAAGGCGTCAACTTGCGAGGGGAGGAGGACGAGCAGGACGCTCAGGACGAGCAGGGCGTTGAGGCCCAGATGGGAGGAAGCCATGGTTTACTGTCTGATGGCGATCGATCGACGATGTGGGAGATGAAAGATGCAGCCAAGACCGTTGGAGAGAGAGCTAGGTAGGAGAAAGAAAGCTGAGCTGCCACGTCGGACGGGTCTTTTTTTGTTCGTCAGACGTGCTTTGATCGTATGCAGGCGTCCGCGGAGGGGCAGTTGGTGGGGTGATTGGGTACGGTCGTCTGCGCGTTGTCCGACCGGAAGTAAGTAGAAGGATACCGAGCAGGGAGCTAATGTAGAGAAGGATAGAAGGATGAAGAGGGGAGAAAGGAGAGGCAGGATAGGGTGCTTGTCGTGAAAACCCGACCGATCAGCGACAGAGCCAAGAGAGAGCAAGCTGCGATGATTTCAGTGCCCCACTTGTTGGTGGGGACTGGCCCTGGATAATTTATGGGCGAGCTCAGCTGAGAGGCTGGAGGAGTGAGGAGTAGGGGTAAGCGTGAGGAATGAGGTCACTGGTGGATTCAGGAGGCAGGATGTCAGATTCGAGAAGAAGTACGGAGTATACTGTATAGATTGATGAAGTATATCTGAAAGTATGACATAGTAGTATCAGAATCCGATAGTTCAATACCCACGTTGATATGATAGAACCTCAGGCATGGTACCTATTTTTAACCCAAAACGTGCCAATACCATACCATATAATACCATACCAACAATACAATACAATTATCTAACAAAAACAACCCCGCCTCCACCGCGGGGTAAATCGTGCCGACAGAGTAACTACTGACTAGGTAGGTATTTCACGAGAATACCCGTAGTAACTAGTGACTGGGTAGTAACTACAGTACGACTCATGACTTGAATAACGTCGTAGTCGATCAATGTAAGGTAGCATTGATAGATCGATATACCACATTGTGGGAGACGATGCCACGTGGGTATCACACTTGACTATGTTTACTATGTAGTATTTGTTTATTTAGCTTTTACCTGGTCGTATACAATCATGCCACCACCATTACCACTACCACTATCACTACCACCACCATAAACACTTACCTACCTATCTATTTAACTACCTACTCTCCAGACCACTCCAACCCTCAAACCACCCTTCCCAAGAAACGACCCTCAAACAAACAAAAAAAAAGAAAGAAGAAGAAAGAAAAAAAAAAACCCAAGATGACCACCCACCTCGCCTCCCTCCAACGCGACGGCTACGTCCTCATCCCCTCCCTCCTCACCCCAGACGAAACCGCCCACCTCCGCACCGTCGCCACAAAGATCACCGAGCAAGCCCGCACCGGAACCTGGCCCTACTTCCGCACCGTGCCCAAACAATTCCCCCCCTGGCCATCCACCCCGCCCCCGGCCTCCGAAGGCGGCATCTGGGGCGTGCAGCACCTGCTGCACCCGGACATGCCGGGGCGGGCTGATTTCGCGCGGTTGTATTTCTCCGACAAGGTCCTCTCCGTCGTGGAGGAACTGGTGGGGCTGGACGGCGCGAAAGAAGCAGGTCCGCGGGAAGGAGGTCGGGAAAAGCTCGTCATGGAACTGTTTAATCTACTGGTCGCGCCGGAGACGCGCGACTTCGAGCTGCGGTGGCACCGCGATGACGTCCCCGAGACGGCCACGCCCGACGAAGAACTCCGCCTCCTGGAAGCCAAGAGTCCCGGCGGGAAGCAGTCGCACGCGCAGTACAATCTCGCTCTGTGCGAGGACGCCTCGCTGGTGGTTGTGCCGGGGTCTCATCGCCGGGTGCGGACGGAGGCTGAGCGGGCGGCGGGGCCGTATGAGGCTCACTTGCCGGGGCAGGTGGTTGTGGAGCTGAAGCCTGGGGATGCGGTGTTTTATGATAGCAATATCTTGCATCGCGGGGTTTATCGGGGGAAGGAGGAGGGGGCGGAGGAGTCGCGGTTGACGTTGCATGGGAGTGTGGGGCTGGTGGAGGAGAGTGCGGGGGATGATGGGAAGGTGAGGGCGACGGCTGTTTTGCAGCATGGGGTTGGGGCGTGGACTCAGCGGGAGGATGCGGCGTTTGGGATTGGGGGGCGGGCGGAGGGGATGAGGGCGAATCTGATGGCTATGGGGTCGGGGGAAGGGGTGGGGTACTCTCTCCAGGGGTAGATGTAGTCCATTAGGATGTGTATTAAATGTGTTTTGAATGCTTTTGTTCTATTTCCTAGGGTATTGACAAACTCGATGAGATGAACCATCGATATATACCAGATATACCAATACCAATACCAATATACCAAAATTGTCGTCATATCGTCACTCGTAACCAAGTCGAGGGTATCACCCATCCAAAGGCCGTTGCCCATACACGTAGTGGTATAACACGTAAGTATGGTACGAGGCATTGAGCAACTCGCCCCGCACCTTGTCCACGTATTCCTGGGATTGTTCAAAGGTGTATCCCATGACCCTCGTAAACAGAGCCAACGTGTAGGGCTCGACGGCTTCCCAGAGGGTGCACTTGCCCACCCGTCCGATCTCTTTCAACCGGGGGCTCTTTGGCCAGGAACCTACGGGGCACTGTATCGACATTAGCTGGTGCTCCGCCAGACGATCGGGAAGAGAGGCTCACCTTATAAACATCGTCTGTCACGTTGACAAACCCAGCACCCTGCATCCACCCCGCCACATGCGACGCCACGTTCATGTGTTTCCCAAAGCGGCGGCTACTCTGGTCCAATTTCTGCTGCCAATCCAGCAGCATGGTCGCCTGCTCGTGCGTGCCGTCGTCGGAACGGACCCACGTCTCATACTCCTGGAGCTCGAGCCAGCCGCCCGGCTTGAGATGCTGGTACGCCTGACGCAGCAGCTGCTGCCAGTCGGCGATGCCGCCGCCGAGACTGCGGGCGTGGATGTAGTCAAAGGCCTCGTCCGGGGCGAAGGTCCAGTCGCTCTCGGCGTCGTCGACGTGGAAGGTGCAGTTGGGCGGGGCCCAGTTGGGCTGGATGGGACTGAGGTCGGTGCCGATGACGTCGGCGCGGGGGAAGTCCTCTGCGATCTCGAGGGCCCAGGCGCCGGTGCCGGTGCCGATGTCGAGGATGCGGCGGGGTTCGCGCAGGGCGCGGATGGGGGCGCGGTAGAGGTCGCCGCCGGTGATGAGCTTGAAGAGATGGTGCATGAGGGCTAGACGATCCTGCTCTTCTTCGTCGTTGGGGATGGGGTACTGGCCGTGGCGGTAGGCGTGGTACCGGCGGCCATTTTCGTAGCAGTAGTCTCTCACGGAGGAGGAGAGGGAGAGGTTGGAGTTGGCGATGGACTGGGCATCGCAGAGGGAGTCTTCATCACTGGTCTGGGGGATTTAGTAAGAGGATTGGCAGGCAGTAGATGGATAGATAGAGGAAAGACATACATCAATCTGAATGGGTTCGTAGAGGTTCGGTTGCGGCATAGTCTAAAAAGCGGGACGAGTGGGGATGACGGGTGGATCGATGATGAAGAAGTGAGGAAAATACGGATATAGGGGGTAGGGAAATACAGAGATATGGAGGGGGAAGAAGGAAGAAAGGGGAATAAGATGAAGAATTACACGAGAGGAGGGGGAAGTTAAATAGAATAAATAATCAATAGCTAGACCGGGAGTCTGGATACTGGTCCGAGGAAAAGTTTAAGTAAAGTTAAATTAATTCGGAAGAAAGATAGAAAGTTAAAAAAAAAAGAAGAAGAGAGAGAAAGGAAGAGGAAAGAAAGAAAAGGAACAGGCTAAAGGAGAGAAGGAGCAGCCAGTAAGTAAGTGAGAAGAGAATCCCGACCAGCAGGGATCAAGAGGGATCCGACCCGGGGGAGAGGACGTTGGGTCTTCTTCTTCTTTTTCCTGGGATTTTCTGGATCATGTTCTGTTTCTTTTCTGTTGGTCGGTCTGGCGGTGTGAGCCACAGCTTCGGGTCTTCAACAGTTGGTCCGTGTGCCGTGTTTTCCAGTGTGTTGGTTCTGTCATTCCTCTGATAACTATGTCTTATTATTTATATAATACTTAATACACTGAATAATCAATAGACGTATATACATATGATTGACTTCTAATATACATCTAATATATGTAATTCATACCACACAGATCCCAATCCCAAATCCCCAATCCCAAATCCCCAATCCCGCCAAACTAACCCAACCCAGTAAGCAGTAAGCAGAGCCTTCGTCCCAACACTAGTACTAGTACTCTTAGTACTCTGTAGGAAGCAATGACAGCCTGATTTGTCAGGTGAGGGGGTGCCAAGTTCTTCCTTCTTCCTTCTTCCTTCTTTCTTCTTTCTTTGAATCCTATCGTTAAGTTTATTATCTAATATATAACATACCCCCTCTCCCAAAACAGTAAATATCCCTTCAAGTAAAGTAGAAAACAAAATATAGGTAGTATGTGCTGGCAACTCATCCCCCCTCATGCAATGTACATGCACAATATATCTACCCCACTATCCGCACCGGCTCTCGGGACGGGCCTTCCGATTTGTGCGGAAGGTTATTTATTAATCAACTTGGGTGCATAACTTACTTACGTCCTACTATCCTTTCTTCATACCCCTCTATTCATCCATACTTTGAGTTACTACCATTAGTACTACAAGTACTACTACTACTAGTGGCTGTTGTTTGGATGTTGACTCGTTATTTACTTATAAATTTTATAGATATGATGTGAAATGATCCAGAGAATGATTATACGTATTCAACATAAAGAGTAAGATCAAATAAATAATGGTCATTACATTCGTCGTCATATCTATCTACTACTCCGCCCTATCTACCTACCTACCACTCCGTGGTTAATGAATGACCTAGCCCAAACTCTGCAACTTCTCCCGCTCCGACTCCGTCAACGCCGCAAACAACGCCCCAAACTCCGGCTGCGTACTCGCATGTCTGAAGAAATCTCCCAAAAACGCCTGCGTCTCGTCGTCGCGCTTCCGCACCCCAAACACGCTCTCCGTACCGCCCTCCCCAAACGCCATCAGCTCCTGCTTCGTCACACCCAGCCCCAGATCCAGCACGTCGTTCGGCAGGTCCTCCCACTCGTCGTCGTCGTCGTCTTCGTCGCTGCCCGCTTCGTCGAGGGCGGCCGCGGCGGCGGCGTCGTCGATCTCCTTGTTGCCGGAGGCGGCGGCGAGCTCTTCGACGAGGACTTTGATGATCTTGAGAGGCGCGGATACCGTCGTGTAGCGGTCGGGGTTGTTGCGTGCTTGCGACCGTGTTTTGATCCGGCCTGTGTCTTGGATGATGAGGTCGCCTTTGACTTGGACCTGGGAGAGGCGCGGATCGCCGAGGTTGTAGAGCGTGGCGAGCGCGATGATGTTTTGCTTGATTTCGTCGTAGCCGGCGAAGTTGACCGAGTTCTCGAGCCATTTGCCGACCACTACGGGGAGGCCGCTCTGGCCGCCGATGTCAACCTGGGCCAGGAAGTCGACCACCTCGCGCGCGCTGATGAGTGTCAGTCGCGCGAATACCAGGATCAGACTCTGGATGAACGGCGCCTGTTCCGCCGTGGCGAGCCGCTGGGCGACCGCCTGGAGGAGCTGCGGCAGGTATGGGCCTAGTCGTTCCGATCCAGCGCGTTCGACCAGCTCGGCGGCCAGTTGGCCCACCTCTGTGGCGGCGTTGTCGTCGACGGACGGCCCCAGCAGACGGTCGATGATCATCAGCACGATCTCCGTCGCTTCCTTTCCGCTCTGGGGATCGTGCCACGCGACGAATTGGCTGAAGTCGTGCGAGAGCATGTGTCGGACGGCCTCCGTGGCCGGGCGGATCAGCTCCCCGTCCGTCGAGTGCAGCAACAACCGGGTCAGCTTCGGCATCACTGCCCCAACGAACCCGGCCGGAAGAGGCTCCAGGGCCCGTTCCGTCAGCGCCCGCAACAGGTCCGCCGCGAAGTTCGTCAGCGCGTTCTCCTCGGTCAGGTTGCCCACGTCGATCGCCCCGGTCACGGAGGGGAGCACCTTTTCGCAGAGACCGACAAAGGCGTCGGGGCCCTGCTCCGAGATGTTTTCGACAATGTCCTCAAACGCCTCCGTGACGATCATCGTCAGCTGGAAGTTCGTCGGCCCGTTGCTCGCGATGTTGAAAAGCACGTCGATCGCCGCCGAGGACAAGACCACGCTGGGGTTGACCATGATCGTATCCCGGAGCGTCTCCGCGAGGGTGACCTTGAGATCGTCGCTGTCCGTCGGGTCGCTGAGATCGTGCGCGGAGATGAACTCCGACAAGGCGGAGATCACCGAGGTCTGCAGGGGGATGGTGGTATGCGAGGGAAGCGAAGGCATGAGATCTTGCAAGGCTCGGATGCAGGACACCTTGACCACCTCCGACGGATCATCCACAATGGCTTTCAGAACGGCCTCCAGATACGAGATGGCAGTCGCCTGGAATGGTTCCCCCGCAACTTGCGCCAAAACTCCGGCCACGAGGTAGCCACGGGCCCGTAGCAGCTCCTGCTCTTGCTGGATGGCATATTGGATCAGGTTGCTGAACCCGTTGGCCAACTCGATGGAGATTTGCTGATCCACCTCGTTGAAATCCCTCAGCAGCTGGTTGAGAGTAAACAGAGCCGACTCGCGGGACTTCCACCTGCAAGGAAATGACCGTCAGTGGTGCTATAATGGAGAGAAAACGTGGGGGGGGGGGAAGCTTACGACGAAGACGAATCAGCGAAGACCCGGTTTAGATAAGCCAGTAGTCCTTCAACGGCAGTACTCTTGAGCCATTCGCCAAGTTTGATAACCAAATCCCCGCTACACGTGCGAGGGGTACAGTTTGCCGTCACCGAAGTCTCTTCCGAAAGGAAAAGGTTGACATCAATATCCCAGAGCCCTTCTTCCTCGGTAGTGATATGACTGTAGGACCCTGCCAACTGCAGGATCTCGGGCAACCAGCCCGAGGTGGCAGCAGCCTGTTCGGCGTTTTGCAATTGCTGTAGCAGCTCAGCCTTTACTGGCGGCGCTTTCAACAGCGCCTGGATCAGATCCAGTTCTTCCAAAACTAAGAAGTCCAACGTGTAGGGAAGCCCGTCCACATCTTCCAAACGGCCTTGTCTCTCGTCGTTGATGTAGAATTCGTGATAGGTCGGCTGCAGGTTGGACAGTTCCGTCCAGATGGTCGCGAAGTAGACGGGGCTCTGGTTTGTCAACAGACCGGGGAAGACCATACGGATTTTCATCAATGTCTATGGGTAAAGAAAGGGTTAGTAAAGAGAGTGCGACTGGGGGATCTGTAGGGGAGGGAATACCCTAGCCACTTGCAGCTTCAATCCAATGACCCCACGCCACTGGGAAGCGATCTCAGTCTCCTTGGGTTCCTCCTCCTCGGTAGGCGGCTGCGGCAACGGCGCCTTGAGGGTAGAGATAAAGAAAGGCGACCAGCCAGCCAACACCTCATCCATAAACTGTTTCACCTGCACCTTGTGCTGCTCGAGCACCATCTCCAGGGTATCAAAGCACGAACGGAAGACCGCGACCGCCAACGCGCGCAGCATGGGCTTCCTCGACTCATTCGTCGCCACATGGAACAAGCTGGAGACGAGTTCTCTGGCAACATTGAAAAACTGCTCCTCATTGAAGCCAGTATCCACCAAATCCCAGAGAACCTTCAACGCGCCGTGCAGCGCGCCAGCCGAGCAGTTAACATCATTGATGATCTGCAGCAGAGCCGGGAGCAGCTCAGGCCAGTGTTCCGGGAAGTCCGCGCTAGCGACTTTGCTGACAGCATAGCTGGCAGAGGATTTGATCTTGCGATCGGCCGTCTCAGCCGTGGTGGCTAGCGCCAGCAGGGAGGCGCGAATCTGCGCCTTGTTGACGTCATTGACGAGGATGGTGCCTTTGAATTCATCGAGGTTTGGAGACCACGCGGCTGCAATGAAGGTGCGGAGGACGGAGAGGGCGGATTGCCTGAGGTTGACGGGGACGGTTTCGTGGGAAGCGATGGCGAGGAGGGAGAGGGGAAGGCTCTCGTTGGGGTACAGGCGGAGGAGGTTGAGTTCGGCGGCTTTTCTTGTATCCGCGGCGGGGGACTGCGTGTCCGCAAGTAGCGATAGTAGCTCTTGCTCCATGGTTGAGTTACCCTGGACTGGATGAGGGTAGTAAATCAGACCGTTTTGAGGGGTTGAATCTTTATTTGGTTGGGTGGGTGAATGGATTAAATTAAAACTCAAAGAAAGACGAGGGAGGAGAGCTCGTTCGAGTGAGGGTAAGGAAAATAGTCAATGGCTTCAAACCTGAGTCTCACGCTCTTTCTATGCGTTGACCTTTGATGAAGACGCCAAAAAGAGAAAAAAAAATATGTATATATGACGGGCTCTAATCAAGAAGCATCACCGCGTCTCGTTCGCGTTCGTGGAGGAGAGAGAGGGGCAGTACGGCAGATATGGGTACGAGGGGAGGAAAGGGAAGGCGGTGAGTACCATTT